CATATTTAGCACATTCAGCATATTTAGCACATTCAGCATATTTAGCACATTCAGCATATTTAGCACATTCAGCATATTTAGCACATTCAGCATATTTAGCACATTCAGCATATTTAGCACATTCAGCATATTTAGCACATTCAGCATATTGAGCACATTCAGCATATTTAGCGCATTCATCATATTGAGCACATTCAGCATATTTAGCGCATTCATCATATTGAGCACATTCAGCATATTTAGCGCATTCAGCATATTGAGCACATTCAGCATATTTAGCGCATTCATCATATTGAGCACATTCAGCATATTTAGCACATTCAGCATATTTAGCACATTCAGCATATTGAGCACATTCAGCATATTTAGCACATTCAGCATATTTAGCGCATTCAGCATATTTAGCACATTCAGCATATTTAGCACATTCAGCATATTTAGCGCATTCAGCATATTTAGCACATTCAGCATATTTAGCGCATTCATCATATTGAGCACATTCAGCATATTGAGCGCATTCAGCATATTTAGCACATTCAGCATATTTAGCGCATTCAGCATATTTAGCGCATTCAGCATATTTAGCGCATTCAGCATATTTAGCGCATTCAGCATATTTAGCACATTCAGCATATTTAGCACATCCGTGGCAACAATGTCAGTTGGATCGTTTCGAAAAAACAAAACTTATTGACACTTATGGAACTTGCGTGGCGTGTCGTTACTACGTGGGAGTCCTCACAATGAGGCAGCCAATGGACGTGGAGCGTGGCGATGCCAGGCATTGCTGGAGGAGATATACACACTTACGGTCCGCCATCGGACGCGTCATGATAGCATTTCAGTGGACATAAACCAGGCCTTAAATGTTACCTCCCCTGATATCTTAAATTATAAAAATTCATTCTGACTTCTGCGTGCACGATTGCTTTGAAAGATGTCTCGAGTGATTCTGACCATTTTCCTCGTGCTTCGTGGTAAGTCAATAAAAAATCTGGCGTGAGTTCTGTAACACTTTTTAAGAAAGAAACCATTTTTATCAATCATATCTGCTAAAAATATTTTGTGGGGATCTGCATATTTTGATACGTTGGTCTACACAAAACAAAAACAAAAAAAACAAAAAAGAAAAGGAAAAAAAAAAAGCCGGCTATCGCTCCGGAGCCCCGGGTTGTCGACAATTGGTTAACGAAAAATGTCTTGTCTCCACGTGTCATGTGATCTTTTCACGTGATCTTGTCCCGTGTCTTGTGATCTTACCATGTGATCTTTTCATATGATCTTGTATCGTGTCTTGTGATCTTGTCATGCGAACTTGTCATGTCATCAGGTTTCCCAAATGTTCACTCAGTATTCTCATGTGTGACCAGGTCTTGTGTTTTGTGATATTCTCATGTGTCACCAGGTCTTGTGTTTTGTGATATTCTCATGTGTCACCAGGTCTTGTGTTTTGTGATATTCTCATGTGTCACCAGGTCTTGTGTTTTGTGATATTCTCATGTGACACCAGGTCTTGTGTTTTGTAATATTCTCATGTGTCAACAGGTCTTGGGTTTTGTAATATTCACATGTGTCAACAGGTCTTGTGTTTTGTAATATTCTCATGTGACACCAGGTCTTGTGTTTTGTAATATTCTCATGTGTCACCAGGTCTTGTGTTTTGTGATATTCTCATGTGACACCAGGTCTTGTGTTTTGTAATATTCTCATGTGTCAACAGGTCTTGTGTTTTGTAATATTCACATGTGTCAACAGGTCTTGTGTTTTGTAATATTCTCATGTGTCACCAGGTCTTGTGTTTTGTGATATTCTAATGTGTCACCAGGTCTTGTGTTTTGTGATATTCTCATGTGTCGCCAGGTCTTTTGTTTTTCACTTGAAATGTGGTGAAAAGGTTTAAGAACATTTTATGGTACAACGTCCTACAGGCTTAACGCAGCTTACTTCACTGGGTCTCATAACAGCCGATATGTGCGCTGTTGACAAGGAGTGTATGACTGTTGAAATTTGGTTGAAATTTGAAACTATGGGCCTTTGGTTGTGTACAACACTAGTGAAGAGATACCTTGTCTGGGCACTTACAAAGATGCATTATGATTTCACAAATCTCTACCGAGTTGACCTTGTTAAAATTAATATATATATATATATATATATATATATATATATATATATANTATATATATGTGTGTGTGTGCGTGTGTGTGTGCGTGTGTGTGTGTGCGTGCGTGCGTGTGTGTGTAATTTTAAAATCATGAGCCATTCAGCATGTGAAATGAAATATTAATTGTAAATGGAAAGCTCCATTGTGCTTTTTTTGAAAGACAAATTATAATTACACAAAATTCTCAGCTAGTACATTATTGTTTTTAGATAGTTGTAATTTCCTTCATCTTAGATTTAGTTTCGCACCAATCGCCTGTCAGTTTTCTGTCATTACTTTTTTTAAAGCGAATAAATTGTACCAAAAAAGGCATGTTAAAAGTATATACTTGTTCTACATTTCTCCCCATTTGGTAGAACACACATTAGAGAAAATATGAAGATAACTTTGTACACCAGGAACCTGTTCCGTTGTAATACATAATACTTGGAATGTTCGGGTATGGGGGGGGGGGGGGCAGCAGCTGACAATGCCGTGGTTGTTTTTATTCTATTTTGAAATAAATGAAACCACGAAGTCACAAGGTACAAAAAAAATATATCTAATTAGCAACGGGTGAAAAGGAATAACAACAGCGAACTCCGAGATCCTAGTAAGAGCAGGAGGAAACCGTAATAGCACAATTCCTGTGTTTGCGCGCTCGAGCTTCCCGGTATCGAGCATTAATCACCACCTAGGTTCACGTGGATCCGGTTTGATAGATTTAAGATTTCATTTCAAATTAAACCACACCTAGCAACAATGTTTTTCGTATAAATCCTTTATAAAATGGTTTTTGTATAAATCCTTTATAAAGTGGTTTTTGCATAAATCCTTTATAAAATGTTTTTTTGTAAAAATCCTTTAAAATGGTTTTTGTATAAATCCTTTATAAAATGTTTTTTTTGTATAAATCCTTTATAAATGTTTTTTGTATAAATCCTTTATAAAAAATTTGTTGTATAAATCCTTTAAAAATGGTTTTTGTATAAATCATTTATAAAATGTTTTTTTTGTATAAATTCTTTATAAAATGTAATATCGAGCAATGGGACGTGGGGGTTGAAAAATGGGACTAAAAATGCACTCAAGTAAAACACTTTCTAAACTTTTTCAAGCGCCGCCCCCCCCCCCTCTCATATCAAAACAGCAGCACCGTTAAAAAACGCATGGGTCTTCCCACACCCCCGGCACTGCCTCCCGCACCCCAGGTGCGGGGAGGGGGGGGGCGAGTGCACCCCTAAGTAAGAACCCCTGCTGAAGAATGACGTGTCACGTGGTCACCCTTGAGATAGCATCACGTGGGGTTGTTTTTTTTAAATAACGCACGGAACCTATCCAATAATGAAATAGCGACAACAGCAAACTAAAATGAATGCATTGAATGGACCTTTCAGTTCTACTGACAAAGCCAACGCGCATTTTTTTAAATTCGCTTATATCGATTAAGTCAATTAAACATTTCACCTGTTTACGCAATCAATATCATGGCGCTTTCAATATTTTAAGAGTGATCTCACAACAATAAACAAAATGTGGGCAACGACCGGTCGATTAAGGCTTCATGGGCACCCATGTAAGGCTTGTCCGCTTTATTAACTTACCGTCGGCTTGTTCGCTTTATTAACTTACTGTCGGCTTGTTCGCTTTATTAACTTACTGTCGGCTTGTTCGCTATATTAACTTACTGTCGGCTTGTCCGCTTTATTAACTTACTGTCAATGTAAATGCTACTTTTTGTGTCAAACCTATACTCTGTGATGACGGTGAGACAAAGAAACATCACAGGAACTTTTCGACGTTACAACACTTTACAAAATAAACGCTTCGGTGATCAAACTGTTTGTGTTGAGTCAAGGGTGATCCGACGAACTGAATAATGCATACCACAAGACCTGGGTTACTCGTGGCTTCAGACCCAAAGTCACATGTAGCTACCGTACTTAACAGTTCAAAAGACACGAAGTCGCATGTAGCTACCGTACTTAACGGTTCAAAAGACACGAAGTCGCATGTAGCTACCGTACTTAAGACCCGAAGTCGCATGTAGCTACCGTACTTAACAGTTCAAAAGACCCGAAGTCGCATGTAGCTACCGTACTTAAGAGTTCAAAAGACCCAATCCTGGAGTTGCTACGGAGCTGTGCTTTAATCAAAACAAATGAACAATAAACCAATTAAAAACAAAATAATTAAACATAAACACAGTAAAGACGTACACGTTAATAATAACGATGTTAAAGACACACATTAATAATCAACACATTAATGACACACGCGTTAATAATAAACACATTAAAGACACACATTAATAATAATGATATTAAAGACACATATTAATAATAGACACATTAAAGACACACATTAATAATTAAGATATTAAAGACACATATTATAATAAACACATTAAATTCACACGCATTAATAATAAACACATTGGCAACAAACAAATGAATGATAAACACATCAGTGAAAAACATCTGAAAGGAAACATGTTTGCCTGTTTCTTATTTGATCATTTCTAGCCACACAGCTGAATGTGGAGGGTGCCACATGTGGGCCGACCACAAGTCTGACTTGCCAGAAAACGGACAAGACGCTGGGCACTTGCATCAATGGAACTTGTCAGTGTGAGACTGGATACTTCCCTATACGGTCTGGTTGTGGACGTGAGTAAAGGGCCTGGATACATAAATACAAGTTGGGTGGATGCATATGGATGGACGGCAAGAAGAATGGAGGGATACATGTATAGATGGATCGAGTGATGGGTGAATGAGTCGATAGATATATGGATTGATGTGGAGATGGTTGATTGAAATTATGTGGATGGTGTCAACGTCTTGCTGTTTGATCTATAGAAAAACTGGACAAGCCTACAGCTCAGTGGGAACAAGGAAGAACCAATGAAGTTCTCGAGGGAAAAAGTGCTGTGTTGAGATGCTCATCCGTAGAAGGCGCCACCGTTTATGAATGGTTCAAAAATGGAACATCGCTTGCCACTGGCCAGACTTACACAATAACATCCGCCAAATCTACATTGGTAGGAAATTTCAGGTATTTCCAATTCCCCCTCCTGCTTCTAGTGGGGTAGCATTCTGACGACGCGACCAAAGTAGGCCGTTACCTTGAGAAAAAAGGCATCTTTTAGAATATCGAAATGTTTTTTGTTTTTGTTTTAAAATTGAATAATGGGTGTATGAAAAAAAAAAGAAACTACTTGAAATTATTTTTGTTTTCTGTTGCTAAAATTAATTTAACCCCCAAAAAATTAACTTTGGATTTTAAAAACCAAAATTTCTTTTTGACGTAGACAAACTGGCAAATTAAAAGAACACTTACTTTAAAGCTCCTTTTTTTCTTGGGAAGGGAAACAGTAGGGGTTGGGGTGGGAGGTTGGGGTGGGGGTGGGATGAGGGTTGGGGTAGGGTGGGGGGTCGGGGTGCGTTGCACAGGTGGAAGACAGACATGTATCATGTGTTAAGTCTTACCATGATGCCACCATAATGTACCATTCTTTGTCCATTGACTTAAGTTCGTACAGTTGATATAGAACCAGGTCTTAAAGCTACTGGTCATAGCTATCGCCATCATCCTTAAGAGATCCGTCTGCTTGTACTTCCCATAGCTGTAAAGCCAAGCTGACCAACGCGGACAGCTACTTGGACTCGGACGGAAGTGACGAAATCGAGATCAAACTCCTGGCGATCTCTGGTGGTAAGGTTATCGATAGAATGTCACGTGTCCGAAAATAAGAACAAAAACTAACCACTTACCTCGTGCAAATCGATATTTTAAATATTCAAGAGTTTGATCACGTGGCACCTTAATCCTAGGCCGGGAAGTGTACGGATTAGAAGAAATTAATCCTAGGCCAGGATGTGTACGGATTAGAAGAAATTAATCCTTGGCCAGGGATGTGTACGGATTAAAAGATATTAATCCTAGGCCAGGATGTGTACGGATTAGAAGACATTAATCCTAGACCGGGGATGTGTACGGATTAGAAGACATTAATCCTAGGCCAGGGATATGTACGGATTAGAAGACATTAATCCTAGGCCAGGGATGTGTACGGATTAGAAGACATTAATCCTAGACTGGGGATGTGTACGGATTAGAAGACATTAATCCTGAATCCTAGGCCAGGATGTGTACGGATTAGAAGAACAATTATTTACAAGTAATGCAATTTAAAATCTGAACCAAATTCATTCAGGAGAATTTTTTTTTCAAAAGCCACTAAAATGATTAAACTTAAGTGTTCTGCCCTTATCAAACTGTCTTATCAAATTGTCTTATCAAACTGTCTTATCAAACTGTCTTATCAAACTGTCTTATCAAACTGTCTTATCAAACTGTCTTATCAAACTGTCTTATCAAACTGTCTTATCAAACTGTCGTATCAAACTGTATTATCAAACTGTCTTATCAAACTGTCTTATCAAACTGTCGTATTGCAGTTATAATTTTACGGATACACGTATTCGCTATAGATTCAACGCACCTCTACGGATCGCTGTCACAATGCGCCTGGTATCATGGGAACCACGCCCCAGGTGCCTGACAGTGCACGGAAGAACGGTTCTCTGATAGAAGGCGGAAAGGCCGTGGGTAAAGGGAGGAGAGACGTTGGGAGGCAACAAGGGGGTTGATGAAATGGCAAGAGTGTGGGCAAGGGAGGAGAGACGTTGGGAGGCAACAAGGGGGTTGATGAAATGGCAAGAGTGTGGGCAGGGGAGGATTATTGATTAAGTTTGAATGTTTAGAAATAATGAAACAGGCAAACAAGCAAATACAAACTTTCTAAAAAATAAGATGTCGATCAGTTGCTCACCCCCTCTTGCTTAGTTTTTAAGGTGCCGAGCGTTGACTGAATGAAGCACCAAAAGAAAACATACTTATTAGATAAAGGGCTCTAGCGTAGTGACCAGGAGAATATTATATGGGGGGGGACTTTTTGAGGTGGTGGGGGCGCAGAAGTTTGCATTGGGAGTTTAATGGAGATATGTTGCGAGGGGTTCTGGGTGGAGAGGTGATTTGTGTAATGACGTGTAATTTGGTGATGGAGGGGACGGGCCGATGGAGAAGAAGTGATTCTTTAGGTGTTAAACTTTGTGTGGGTGGAGTGGGGCGAGGGGAAGAAAAGGGGGGGGGGAGGGGTTGACGTTTGGTTTCGGGTAACGTTAAGAATTGATGAAACACACCATCAAACAAATCAATGCGGGTCTAACATGAAAAAAAAAAATTAATAATAACTGGTTGATTTTCTGAACAGCGTACCTTTCCATGTATTCCCGGGCAACACCGGGTCTCATTTCTAGTTATAAACAAGCCATGCACTTCCTATATCCACCCAGCCGTGTCCAGCAGTAAACCAGTAGCAGTGGTGCCAACACGCTACATCTTCAATAACAAAGCCGTCAGCTTGACGTGCACCAATGTGCCCATGGGCTATGACGTCAGCACGAATGTAGTCTTCGAGGTAAACAGTTAATGGCGCCCGTAATTAGATGACCAGTATTACCTTAAGCGTTACTGAGCTACTATGTCAGAACCAAGCACTGACTGCTTAGAACAGGCACTCAGCTTGACGCCAATAGCACATGCATACATCTAATTGGTCTAAGTTACGTACTTTTTAACGATTATATATTTATACACATTTGTGCTAGTAAAGTTTTATTTTGATGATATTTTTATGCTAAATAAATTCACTTGGAATAGTGCAAATCGATAAAATAACTAAGAACTTTCGCCCGTACTATTAGAAAGTCTGTCAAACAACACACCACATTCCATTAGAAAGTCTGTCAAACAACACACCACATTCCATTAGAAAGTCTGTCAAACAACACACCACATTCCATTAGAAAGTCTGTCAAACAACACACCACATTCCATTAGAAAGTCTGTCAAACAACACACCACATTCCATTAGAAAGTCTGTCAAACAACACACCACATTCCATTAGAAAGTCTGTCAAACAACACACCACATTCCATTAGAAAGTCTGTCAAACAACACACCACATTCCATTAGAAAGTCTGTCAAACAACACACCACATTCCAGTGTTAAGCACCACTTGTTTTAATAGCATCATGACACAATCTCACTAAGCACTCTGAAACTATCTTACATAGCACCCTGACAATCTCACTAAGCACTCTGAAACTATCTTAAATAGCACCCTGACAATCTCACTAAGCACTCTGAAACTATCTTACATAGCACCCTGACAATCTCGTCGAGCACCCTGAAAAGCTCACATAGCCTCCTGGAACTATTTGCCCTAGCACTATGAAACTATCTGCCCTAGCACTCTGAAACTATCTGCCCTAGCACTCTGAAACTATCTGCCCTAGCACTCTGAAACCATCTGCCCTAGCACTCTGAAACCATCTGCCCTAGCACTCTGAAACCATCTGCCCCAGCACTCTGAAACCATCTGCCCTAGCACTCTGAAACCATCTGCCCTAGCACTCTAAAACCATCTGCCCTAGCACTCTGAAACTATCTGCCCTAGCACTCTGAAACTATCTGCCTTAGCAATCTGAAACTATCTGCCTTAGCAATCTGAAACTATCTCACTTAGCACCCTCAGGCTCACTCACGTAGCCCCCCGTCATTATCTCGCTCGTCACCCTAAAAATCTCAGTAAGCACACCTTCTTATAATCGATGACGCCATTCTCATAGCAGAGTTTACACAATCTCTCATAGCATTATTTTACATCTACTTTATAAATTTATACTATACCTACTATATTTTTTATACTCTATATTATCTCACATATCACTCTGAAACTATCTCACATACCACACTGACACTATCTTACATAAAATCCCGAGACTATCTCACATAACACCCTGACACTATCTCACATAACACCCTGACACTATCTCCACATAACATCCTGACACCATTGACAATTACCCGGCTCCCCCACCCACCCCCCTCTCCCAAAGGACACATCGACTCCTGCCAAGACCATCTCCTCCCCTGTCAACGTAAACAGCTCCAATGCCGGCTCAAACGTCACGTGTCGGCTGACCGACACGACAGTCAGCTACACGGCGCCAAAAAGTGATGCGGTCCCCTTACCGGAAATAGTATGTGAGTATTCATAGCGATTGCTGCCCGTTTGTTAGAAAGTGTACGACATTAGCCAACGTCTTGTACCATGTCGCATTGTACGCAGTGGGCTGAGATTTTTCTTTAAACTTGAGAAAAGAGTTCTGTTACATTGTTCAATTGTGTTTTTTTTTATTTTTTAAGTTTAATTATTGCCATAAAACGATAATTTGATAAAGCCACAACCGCTGTCCCATGCCCATCACATCATAACCCTCTCCCCCCAAATAAAGCCACCAAGCCCCCACCCCTTCCACATCAAACATACTTTTACCATAGTTCTCTTCTTTCAACGTATACCACTGTGCTATCATTTTAACATATGCCATAGTGCTACCCTTTCAACTTATATCAGGGTGCTACCGTTTCAGCGTATACTGTGGTGCTACCATTCAAATTATACACCTGTGCTACACAGGGGCAGTGATTATTTCAGAAATTTTCCCGGGGGGGGGGCACTGCCTCCCCCTCCCGTAGATATAGATGAAAGAAACCCTTTACAGGGGCGTCATTTCAGGGGTTTTTTCGGGGCAGGGCAAAAGCATAATTTCCTCGGTTTGTTAAGTTGTTTATTACTGGAGGCACCACAGTACAAAACAATTTAAATAAAACCTGCAAATTCAGAGGAGGGGGGAGGAATGCCCCTCCCCACCCTACCCAAATGACGCCCCTGGTGCTACATTTGTCCTGTCAATATCCACTACGTGCAGCATTCCCTTTGAGGAGTTCAGTCAATGATTCTCCTATCAACAGCTGACATTGTCAACGTGACCATCACTGGGGGACCTGCGAGGACGACTGTCTACTCGTCACAGGCAACTGTCAGTCTGACATGTCAGACGGTACCAGATGTGCAGTACATAAACGGGGCCGTGATTTTCATCTGGCAGGTACAAGTCTTTGAATGGGGACGTCGTCCTATATCGTTCAAAATATAGAAATATGAATGTCGATGAATGTGAAGTTCGAGGAATGTAAAGGTTTAGCAACTTTTAGGATGACTGTAATGGTGTACGAATGTGAAGGGATATCAATGTAATGGTGTACGAATGTGAAGGGATATGAATGTAATGGTGTATGAATGTGAAGGGATATGAATGGAAAGGTGTATAAATGTGAAGGGATAAGAATGTAATGGTGTACGGATGTGAAGGGATATGAATGTAATGGTGTATGGATGTGAAGGGATATGAATGTAATGGTGTATGAAAGTGAAGGGATAAGAATGTAATGGTGTATGAATGTGAAGGGATATGAATGTAATGGTGTATGAATGTGAAGGGATGTGAATGTAATGGTGTACGGATGTGAAGGGATATGAATGTAATGGTGTACGAATGTGAAGGGATATGAATGTAATGGTGTACGAATGTGAAGGGATATGAATGTAATGGTGTATGAATGTGAAGAGATATGAATGTAATGGTGTATGAATGTGAAGGGATATGAATGTAATGGTGTATGAAAGTGAAGGGATAAGAATGTAATGGTGTACGGATGTGAAGGGATATGAATGTAATGGTGTATGGATGTGAAGGGATATGAATGTAATGGTGTATGAAAGTGAAGGGATAAGAATGTAATGGTGTACGGATGTGAAGGGATATGAATGTAATGGTGTATGGATGTGAAGGGATATGAATGTAATGATGTACGGATGTGAAGGGATATGAATGTAATGGTGTATGAATGTGAAGGGATATGAATGTAATGGATAATGAATGCGAAGGCGTTTGAATATGGTGGTGTGTGTATGAATATGAAAGTTAAGGACCGTGGACAGTTAGGGTGTACGAATGTGAAGGTGTAAAAATGTGAAGTATGCCGAGAGTTACTCACCGATTCACTGGACGCAGAATTAATTTCTGAAGCACAGCGTGCGTCCAATCCGAGTCAGTTAAACGTCAAGACAGAGTCCCCGTTCAGTTACTGTGGACATACATAACACAAAACTGTTATGGCCTTCTTCCAGCTTGTGGAAATAGTGAAATAGTTCTACTATGTGTCATAACTAAAAATAAAAACTTATTATAGCAAACTTTTAAAAATACCAAAAAATAAATAAATAAATAAATAACAAAAATAAAAAAATACCAACAAAAAACTGTTGCATTGCTTGATCAATTTATTTATGCATGAATTAATTAAAGTAAAATGTCACATTCTATTTTTTTTTTAAAGTTCCAACATGTTACTCTTTGACATTCTATTGTGTTTTATGCTCTTAATTGTCGCGCACAAAAAAAATATTCTAAATAATGTTTATCACGAGCTCTGTCAGGTTGGTGCTGGGGGTGGGAGGGGGGCCTAGGGCTATGGGGTCATGGATGTGTTTATGTCAAGTGGGCGATGCCCGGAAAAAAGTTTCATAAGGTCAAAATGTCTAGCTCGATTTCCTTAAAGTTTAGTCGCGTAGCTGAAAAGATTGGAACGCTCTAAATTAATCGGGGCATTCATTTATTTAGCAGGGTTCAAAACAAAAGAAGAAAAATTTAGATATTGTTTTGAATTAGCCGCGAGTGGGTCTGTTTCGTTTCATATAATGATCGTCATAGTTTTATATGTTCAATCTTTTTTTTTTTTGTGCAAGGGTCTCCAAGGCGACGAATTCAATTCTGTAGCTTTAAATCACTCCCGATCACCTCATTAAGCCTGCAATTATTTCTCACGACCTGTGTGTCTGTGGTGTGATGTAAGAGGAGCTTTTCAAAACATGAACCATTACAAAGCGCTATTTGCGATCTTGAAGTGTGGGACAGTCCTGGGTTTTTTTTTGGTTTTTTTTTTTTTTTGGTCCCGCGACTTTTTAGAAGTGAGAAGGTGAAGAATGCTAACTTTTATGAATTGATTGGTGGATTAGCATCTTTAAAGAGCTAAGGGGTAAGTAAAGTCTTACCATTTTACACCACCGCTAGTGACGCGTCTGCCGGAATGGATCAAAATGTTTGCCACCCCCCCCCCACTTTTTTTTTTCGCCTCGATAAAAACCCTGTGCATCTGTGCATCTGTGCATCTGTGCATTTAGCAGAAACTGCCGCCCCTCCATATAAAGAAAAAAAGTGCCACCTGTGGCGTACCACACCCTCCGCGCCCCTTGTTCCGTTTACTATATAGACCCGTGGTTCTCAACCTTCCCGATGCCGCGACCCTTTAATACAGTTCTTCATGTTGTGGTTACCCCCCCCCCCCAACCTTAAAATTATTTTCTTTGCCTCTTCATAAATGTCTTCCGATTTCCGATGCTCTTGGACGACCCAAGGGGGTCGCGACCCACAGGTTGAAAACCGCTGGTGGCAACGAAAGAGTTAACTTGCCATGTGACTAATTCTCTGATGTCCACCGCCAAAATTGACCACGCCTGTCTTTTTCTTTTAAAAACTTTGCATGTGGGGTCAGTGGGGTTTGTGGAGACCAAGTCAGTTAACTATAAGTAATGTCTCCCAGAAGGAAAATAGTACTTGACTTAACGTATTTTTTTTCCTCCACCCACCAGGATCACGGCCAACAGGTCGAGGGTCAAACCAGTAAAGTATTGGTCGTGCCGAAGTTAGAAACAACCCACGTCATCACCTGTAGCGTCATTATCAAAACCTTGAGTTCTTCCACAAATGACGTCACCATTGTCATGAGTAAGAAGTTCCTAATAATTTTGTCCCTTACATTTTCTTTTTCGTATCTAAACGTTCGACTCATTTAAGAGTGCAGCCTTTATTAGCTCAGTTACTATCCCCTGACCTTGGAGATCCCAAGGGATCCGACTCCTGTACCCGACTCCTGTACCCGACTCCTGGACCCGACTCATGTACCCGACTCCTTTACCCGACTTCTGCTCAAAGGAATAACTAGGCAAACGTTTTTAATGTCATGTTGACATCGAGATGGCATCATTTCTTAATGTCATGTTGACATCGCGATGCCATCGTTTTTTTATGTCGTGTTGACATCTAGATGCCATCATTTCTTACTGTCATATTGACATCGCGATGCCATCGTTTCTTACTGTCATGTTGACATCGAGATGCCATCATTTCTTACTGTCATGTTGACATCGAGATGCCATTATTTCTTACTGTCATGTTGACATCGAGATGCCATCATTTTGTTTTGTCCCTAGACGACACCTACCTTGCCGCTCCGGTAATCCTAGCCAGCAACCTGGCGCCGTTTGCAGGATCTCGTGCTGTGCTGACCTGCGGTGACGTCACACCAGGGGCGGCAACTTACGGCTGGACCAAAGGGGGCGTTCCGATCGTTCGACAGTTTGACCGGACCATCCAGCTGGACAACTTTGTGGCGGCAGACGCCGGGGTCTACACGTGCACCGTGACCAAAGATGGCTTTTCGGTTACATCTGACCCAGTTACTCTGACGTTATCAAGTGAGTGTCGTAAAAGGTCCGACATAATATATTCAATATTTGACATAGTTATATTCATCATATGGATAATCTCAAATCGAAAGTCTACTGGGGAGCTCTCTTCTATTTGGACACATAAAATGTAAGAGTCAAATCACTTTACGTACCTCCATTTAAAAAAAAAATCTTATTACTCCCCCACCCTACCCTTAAGTTATTGTTTCGTTATATTCGCTGTGACATTTTGGGACATATTGCGCTATTAAAGCACCTTACAGTTGATTACCGCCCATCAACAATTATATTCTCTTCTTTTCATTGTTGAAATGTGACGTTATGCATTTGTCTTACATTTTCATTTTATTTTGTTTCTCATAGCACCCATACACCATCCAGCATATCACACAGAAACCATCTCACACAGCACCCAGACAACGTCTCATAAAGCACCCAGACACCATGTCACATAGAAACCCAGTTACCATCTCACTTAGCACCATGACACCAACTCTCATAGGGTCATGACACAACCACGCATAGCACATGACATTATCTCTTATAGCACCCTGGCACAATCTCTTATAGCACCCTGGCACCATCTCTTATAATAAGGACGTCATTTTGACGGGTTTATTTAATTTGCCATGCCCTATGGCGCCCTTAGTAATAAACAACTTAAAAAGCAGACCAAGTTTTAGTTTTGTCCCCCCCCCACCCCCCCCCCTTTAAAAAACTTGAAATGACGAACCTGTCTCTCATTAGCACTCTGAAACCATCACTCATAGCACCATAACACGTCTCTCATAGCACCAAGACACCGTCTCTCTTAGCACCCTGACACCATCCCTGATCTTTCTGTCACATTCTCATTCACATTTTATTTACAGCCGGTCTGTCGACGCCAGTCATCACCAGAAACGACACCGCCAAGACGTTCGGTGAGCTGGGCGACTACCAGCTCATCTGTAACACAGTCTCCTACACTGTTGGGATGGCCTTTGTCTGGAAAAAGTAAGTGAGTCCTCGTGTCTGGGAGAAAACGGCTTAATCTCATAATGCGTGATATAAGCTTGGATTCGGTGCAGTGTTGATCAGAGCTGCAGAACACGCCACTCGGAACCCTCACTTCTTCAATCCCACAACATCTCAGTACCCTCACTTCCTCAATCCCACAACATCTCAGTACCCTCACTTCCCCAATACCACAGCATCTCAGTACCCTCACTTCCCCAATCCCACAACATCTCAGTACCCTCACTTCCTCAATCCCACACCATCTCAGTACCCTCACTTCTTCAATCCCACAACATCTCAGTACCCACACTTCCTCAATCCCACAACATCTCAGTACCCTCACTTCTTCAATCCCACAACATCTCAGTACCCTCACTTCCTCAATCCCAGAACATCTTAGTATCCTCACTTCCTCAATCCCACAACATCTCAGTACCCTCACTTCCTCAATCCCACAACATCTCAGTACCCTCACTTCCTCAATCCCAGAACATCTCAGTATCCTCACTTCCTCAATCCTACACCTTCTCGGCCCCATAACTAGGATTGCTTATCATCAACATTGAAAAAAACCTAATAAAAAAAAAACAACACAATACATTTTGGTTTGAAGTATAAGAGCAAAAAATAAGTTAGAAATCAAGAGAGTCTAACTAAATTTCAATACAAATAATAGTTTTTACTCCGAATCTGAGTTGGGTAAGAATCAAGTGTTTCCCAGCCTGATCATGCTGTGAGAGGACATTTCAGGGGACGTTCAATGAAACGTGATTACATGAGCAGAGGAGGGGGGGGGGTGCGAAAATTATTGACATTAAAGTTATGACATAAAAATATATTGTTAATTATTTTATAATTTCCGCATCAACATTTCCATATATATAATATATATGTATTCAATGCTGGATTAAGTCCTGCTGATGCCCCCCCCCTCATCCACCCCCATCCAAAGCAGGCTAAATTGTGGGTTTCCTCTTGTAAATATCTCTCGTGCTTAATGTCATATCCAACAATTCTGAGTTTGAGTCTTGCAAAAAAAACGATCCAACTTTTTCACAATTTGAATGCCAGTGTTTCAAATATACAAAATAAATACATACAATCATGACGACTTAACTTGTTTGAAATTGTTTCTTAGGCCAGTGGGCCATTTAAAAAAGAATTCTCGCTCCCCATAGTTTTAAAAACCTGGCTACGCCCAGTGGCGTAGCGAGGGTGTTTGGCGCCCGGTGACAAGATTCGCGCCCGGGGACAAGATCCATTTTTAGCGCCCCTTTTTCTTTTTTTTCAACTCTCAAACCCATTATTTTCATCAATAAAATAATATCAAAGCACATTTTGGCGCCCCTAACTAGCTGGCGCCCGGGGACATCTGTCCCCCCTGCCCCCACCAAGCTATGCCTCTGGCTACGCCACTGCCCAAACGGGTTGGTGGTACAATCATAAAATAGGAATTTTTTTTCGTAAATTAAGGACAAGCACATTCTACCTAGTATATAACTTACTTGTGACTATCAAACATAACGGTGTCAATTTAGTTAAACAATCATTTTTTAAAAGAGTTATATACATTCATTTATGTAATGTTCTTGTATTTATAAAATTGCAATGTTCTTGAATTTATGAAAATGCACTGTTCTTGTATTTATGTAATTAAATTAGCACAATGTAATTTATATTACATGTTCTTTTTCTCCAGATGTACCACAGTGCTTGGCGAAACTTCGAGGATCTACCAAATAACAAGGGCTACTCGTGAGGCTGACCAGAGTTTGTACATGTGCCAGGCACACTTTAACTCCATCCAAAGTGCACTGAGTGCACCGTACGAGGTCATTATATCAGGTCAGTCACGTTGGAAGGAAATTTGGATTGTATTTCAGTTTTTAAGGCAAAAGAAAAAAACAATTCCTCTGTGTCCACAACCAAAGCTGAGCCCTGGACTGATGACTTCAATCTATAGTCAGCAAGACGAATGGTATATTATACTAGGGCTTAACCAAGTGCAATGTTTTACTCTGGTCCCGGTATTTTCATAAAATACCCGATGGGTTCCAAGTGGTACACAAAAAAAAAGAGTTAACTTCTCATTTTCTATAATAAGCAACGAAATCTACTGCCCCATGTCGTAGTGAGAGGGCATTGCCTTCGTCAAGCCGGATCCCGAAATAGAGATGACGTTGTACAAAAACCCGTCGACAGAGAAGATACTGTCATTCATTTTATAGTAAAGACTTGGGAAACAACAGTAGCAGGATAACGAAAATAGCAATACCTTCCAAAAGCTGTGACATTTTAAAAAAATCCATTTCTATTTATTTTTTTTTTTTTTAATCCACCTATTTACCAAAGTTCTGACGTCACACATGAAGCTCGCTGCGTGACAGCTTTTTTTTCACTTCGCACTATTAATATAAAAACATGTGCTTTGAAGAGGAAGCAGGACACACCAGAAGCACGTTTCAAGCAAGCAAGAAGACATCACAAACGTTGAGATATTCAGCTTTGCTTCGCCTCTTCCATTTTTTTTTCTCTTTTGTTTCAATGCTTAATTGTATTTCCGGACATCCTTTAAAGTTCTTACTGACATTGACAAGGTCATTTCTGGGTCAAATGTTTGACCGAATGTCCTTAAATCTACGGACTGTTTTGTAGCTTTACTTCAAGTCTTATTTCTTTCTCGTTTAGCCGCTGGTCTCCTCTGCGCCACGAGTACAGATTGCCCTGGGGCACCTGCCTACACGGGGGCATGTGATTCAACTACAAACAGATGCACTTGCTCTAAAAATTATAAGGCTGTTGGTAATGTTTGTGAAGGTAAACAGCTCAGTGTGTGTGTGCGCGTGGGTGTTTATGTGTGTTCGTTTGTGCGTTTGTGTGTATGAGCGTGTGTTTAGTTTAAAAAAAAAAAAAAAATTATTTCCCTCAAAATTATTTTAAATGGCCATATATTTTTCTTTGAGCTGGTGCTTTATTAAATAAGTTAAGCATTTCTTTTGGTATACAAGAGGGTGATGCTTAAATAATGTTATGCTTGACATATCGCACTTATTTGCTCCAATAGTCATTAATTCTTTGTCTCTTTTATTAGTTGCTTTGCTTTACATTTACCGGTAATTTGCATCAGAAGGATTGCTAAAAGGATGACCTCCCTTGCTGGCTAAATCACGCAGCGTTGGCGGGGTGGGGGGGGGGGATTGATAGATTGGATTATTTTTTTATAACTGATTTATAACATTTTGTTAATGGTCATATTTTTTCTTTCTTCCTTCCTTTTTAAAAAAAAATAAAGGGGGGGGGGGGGGGGGGGGGGGGGGGGATTGATAGATTGGATTATTTTTTTATAACTGATTTATAACATTTTGTTAATGGTCATATTTTTTCTTTCTTCCTTCCTTTTTAAAAAAAAATAAATAAAAATCCTAGCCATTCCTTCAACAACAACAACCACTACTACTACTATCACTACAACGCTAGCAACAACAACAAATTACGCTGGTAAGATAATGTATTTAGTTGGTACGAAATTTACGCGTGACTCTCCAATTTGTGTTAAGATGAGTTGATTATATTTTCTATGACTTTTTTTTTGTTTGTGAAGATTTTAGTCTCACTCATTAGTCTTTTATTTTAATATTTTCATACCTTGTAAATATACTATTTTAATTTTAATTTTATTTCATTGAACGCATTGAATGGCAACCTACTTATTACTTTTTTTTTTTATATTGATCGTAATAAATGTTGAGCTATTAATTTCTGAATACTTCAAGAAAAAAATAATCACTTCTACACCACTTCGAAGTGTAACAAAGTGGAAATGTTTGTCATTAGTTTATAAACGTTGGCTCTTTCATCTGTTAATCTCTTGATTCATCATCATCACTTTGGCGAAACATTGCAACCACAATGACGTCGTCGTGCTATTATTAAAATATCAATCTAATTTGACATTTAAAAATGCCGATCGATTTTTCTTTCTGAAACAATCAAGTAATGAATTGGGCAACTGTCCATTTAATATTCCAGTGGAAAAAACAACATGGCAGCATCTCGTTAACACTTTAAAAAAAAAACACACAAAAAAACAAAAAAAACTTGACTTTGAATGTATCTTTCACTCTGGCATTGTTTCCTGTCAGCCTCCACAACCCTACCTGGACGGGTGTGCTCACTGGACAGTGACTGCCCCACATCTGCAGCCTACACGGGCAGATGCAATGCCACCACACACCGCTGCCCGTGTGCCACGAATTATCTGTTGAAGGGAGAAGAGTGCAAAAGTAAGAAACATTCACATTCAAAATATTTACCGTACCAGTGTGTGCACAGTGAATGTGTGTGTGTGTTTTGTGGACATGGGCGCCCGCAGAAAACTTTCTAGGGGGGGGGGGGCAAAAAAATAAATTAACTTTCCAGGGGGGGGGGGCAAACAATTTTTAGTAATGTTTTAATAAAGTTTTAATTTACTGTAGCGTATTTGTATGGTGAACGAACGGACAGGAACCAGCTTAGTTACTTTCTCTTTATTTTCTCTTTACTTTAATAAATTTTTTGTCTATTTTTGTCTAAAAATTTTTTATCCAATCAATCCAGGAGGGGGGGGGGGCAAGTGCCCCACCTTGCCACTACCTGCGGGCGCCCATGTTTGTGGATGCTTTTTTCTTTTCTTCAAATACTCTTTGTACCGGTACATAGATTCAACGCATAGTAAAATATCAACAGAACCGGTGTATATGATACGTGTATTTTGGCCGAGATGTGTGGCCACGGCCAGATGTCCTTGAAATTAGCAGTGCATATATTGTTACTGTGGTCGACCATTTCACTTACCTCAAATGTCATGCACGTTTTGTCAATGACAAATGGCCAATAAGGACACCACTTTACTCTAGCACCTACCAACTTAAAATAATGTGGCACTTAATGGAAGGAAACCAGTTCTTCGGCCACTATTACCATTAGTTCTCAACTGAGATTTTGTCTTTGCAAAACAAAAAAAAGAACGTTAAATACTTAGAACGTAGTATGTCAAATCCTGAATAGCTGACATGACAAATAGGTTTCTGCTGTAATCATTCATCGGCAAATACAACAATACAAATTGTATTTAAAAAAGACGAAAGATGATAAAATCAAAACTTCGCTTAGAGCAGTGGTTCTCAGCCTGTGGGTCGCGACCCTTTCGGAGTTTGAGCGACCATTACACACGGGTTGCCTAAGCCCATCGGAAAAGACATATTTATGAAGAAGCAACGAAAATAATATTATGGTTGGGAGTTACCACAACATGAGTAACTGTAGGGTCGCAGAATTAGGAAGGTTAAGAACCACTGGATTAGAGGTTTTATACAAATCAAAAAAAAAAAACAACTAGACAAGTTCATAAAGTCGAATTTTTGTTATTGTGTTTTTTATTTTTTTTTTTTTTTTTTTTTTTTTTTTTTTTTTTTTTTTTTAAAAAAAAAAAAAAAAAAAAAAAAAAAAAAAAAAATAAATAAGTTGAATTTTTGTTATGGGGTCATTTAATTTTTTTTTTTTTTTTTTTTTTTTTGATAATATTTTGCCGAACGACAAAGAAATTGTGAGACAAAAACTAATGCAAAGAGATGACGCCTTTGACGTCATTACGTGTTTTGTTAAATTTCTGTTTTGGATTCACTACCATTATTTTTGTTAATAGACTTGCATTTTCCTTAATTTGACGATTGGCATGTTTAAATTAAGTTTTATTGGTTAATTAATTATAATTTTAAAATTTCATTGGTTGGGTAATTATAATCTTTTAATTTTCCCGCCATACTTGAACATGGAATTACCATGGACTGCATTGTATTGTATGCATTTCTGGATATTCTTTTCGGTGGTACCTGAAAGTGTATAAAAGTGTATTCTATGAAACTGTAAGTTGGGTTTTCATTATTTATTTATTTTATAATGATTTTTTATTGTTTTTGTTCATTTTGATATATTTCTTGCCACATTGTGCAACTGCACGAGAATTAAATACATTGCCGTCAATTTTCAAATATGGCGGTAAAAAATAAAAAAGTATAATTATAATTCATCAAATAATAACATTTTGATACAAAACATGCCATCGGCGTATGAATACTAATACTAATATATTAAAAAAATAAGTCTCTAAAAATAAATAAAGGGAAGTGACTACTACACGGAAACTTCAATAATCACATAAATGACGTCATGGCATGTCTTCTTTGCATTAGACTCTTATCATTCATGTTTTTTTTTTTTAAGGCCAGTATCAATTACATGTTTTTTTTAAAATAAATTTCTTTTTCTTTAATTTTTTTTTTACATTCCATCTAGGTGGCAGCGGAGAGACGGCGTATTCCCTAATATTTATCATGTTAAACATCGGACTTTCCCGTTTATTTTGACAGTGCGCAAGTCAATGTGTGTAAAGACGTCATATTATGCGTAAATACATGACAGTATGGAATGAATACTTAACTTTTCCTGACAATCAAATTCTAAAAATTGAATAACAAAGCCATTTAATAATATTTTTTAAGGAAAATGGGCTAAAAATTATATATCCTCTTACTACGTTGGGGCTGGGCTAGGACTGCCGTTTGCAGTTGCAGTGATAAGACAAGTGATGCTAACATGTGATTGTGGTATCATTCATGCCCTTAGCTTAAAGTGCTATCACCGATGCCCGTAGCTACAGTGCTATCCCTAATGCAATTTACAACAGTGCTATCACTGTTGACCTTCATCTAAAATGCTATCTCTGATACCCTTAGCCTCAGTGCTATGTCTGGTGCTATTTAGTCATTCATACTCTGATGTTAATGGAGATGATGACACCAGACTCCCGAGTCAATGAACTTAAACAGAAAATAGAAGAATAGCGATTTGTATTTATGATAATTTTTTGGTCTACTGTTAGATGGTATTTTCATAAATTCAACAGCACTGTTGCAGACCTGTTAACTCTTACGATTTGGGCGTACGATTTTGAGATGCATACATTACATATACTGAATGTTTATTTTTTTACTATTAAGATAATGTATTGAACTACTTTGTGATGATATTGTACGATTTTAAGAGTTTGGGGGTAAACAGGTCTGCTGTTGTTAATTCAGGACTATTGATAAATTAAAACTATTGGTCAACAAGAACTATTGGTAAATCAGAACTATTGGTAAATCAAAACTGTGTTTGAATACTTATTGCTACTTTTCCAAGTTTACGTGAAGGTTTTAAAGAAGACAAAAAAAATTTAGATGTAGGCCTGTTTGAATCGCTTTTGCTTCATTGCAATGGGCCTCAAAATTTAATCAGTCCAAGGCCCCCAGTTAACAAAATCCGGGGCCCTGCATGTACAATTTATCGAAGTATTTATTTAAGATGCGTTTGTTGAATAACGACTTGTAATTGTTGTAATACAGCTTAAGTTAGGGTTATTTATTTATTTTAGATCAATATTACGCCCAATGAATATTTAAATTCTCTTAGTTTATTATAGTCAAGCGTAAAGTACCGAGGAAAAAATAAAAATGTGGATGTTAAAGTGCGTATGGTTACTTAAATGTATAGCATCATAACATGTGCTCCATAGCCTTTGTTGTAATCGGGAAAAGAGCGGAGCCATACAGGGACAGAGAAGGGGGCGCCGAAAGGGTGCTTCGCACCGGGCGAAAGTTTGACTAAGGCCGTGGTTGTGTGTTTATTATCTGTTGCACACAAGAAATTAAAAACATATTAATTTTTGGGGGAAAATGACGTGGAGCATGAGAGAGCCCTCAGCGGCTTTAGTGCCAATGATGCTGATGATGGTAATTTTAAACAAAGATAAATAATAAAATATGACACAATACGTAGTGAAGTGTGTTCTTTGTTTATTTTAATTGTTCTGATTGTTGTACGTCTGCGCACAGTTCTTGGCCACATAGTTGCACGTCTTGTCGCGGCCGTATTCGGTGCAGTACCTCCTGTAGTTGCCGCAGCCGATGTTGATGGGCACGGTAAGCACCTCAGCCATCTCCAACAGAACGAGAAGAGACAGGATGACACAGACGATCAAATCACACAACTTCATTTCTCTGTAAACAATGCAAAGTTTGTTTTTTACAAACGCTAAAGCATCTCATACAATGTGGTACTAAGTTCCTGTTGCTCAGCGAGTTCCATTTGACACCTCCCTTGAATCTTGGGTGTGTGGGTGAGTGAGAATATGTAGCCATGTGTGTGTGCGTGAGTATCTATGGCCCGGTGTGTATGTGCGTGAGTATGTGTGGCCCGGTTTGGCCCAGTTTGGCCCGGTGTGTGTGAGTGTGAGTATGTGTGGCCGTATGTCTCCGAGCTCATGTAGGCATTTGTGTACTGGGGGCCGTGTTGACAGCAAACATATTATATTTCAATTCACTATTTAAATCTTATCTAAAGATGATTTTGGCGCCCATGATGTTGGCGTCCGGTGTGACCGCCCTCGTTGCCCCATTCTCATGTCTCCGCCCGAGGGCGGTGTGGCACCCAGAGGGACGTAGCGTATATAATGGGAACCACTGGGCTGGCCCGAGGGCGGTGTGGCCCCCAGAGGGACGTAGCGTATAGAATGGGAACCACTGGGCTGGCCCGAGGGCGGTGTGGCCCCCAGAGCGATGTAGCGTATATAATGGGAACCACTGGGCTGGCCCGAGGGCGGTGTGGCCCCCAGAGGGACGTAGCGTATAGAATGGGAACCACTGGGCTGGCCCGAGGGTGGTGTGGCCCCCAGAGGGACGCAGCGTATAGAATGGGAACCACTGGGCTGGCCCGAGGGCGGTGTGGCCCCCAGAGGGACGTAGCGTATAGAATGGGAACCACTGGGCTGGCCCGAGGGCGGTGTGGCCCCCAGAGGGACGTAGCGTATAGAATGGGAACCACTGGGCTGGCCCGAGGG